TCCTATCGCGCCATACTCTCTACCAGCAGTCTGCTGCTGATCGCTGGCAGACGCTAGATCGATACCTATACTTCCTAGCCCTCGCGACGCTAGTGGACGCTGGTAAACGCTGGCAGACGCTGGATCGATATCTATACTTTCTAGTCGCTGACGCTGCCGGACGCTCGGGACACTGATGGACGCTATTGGTCGCTGGTGGACGAGAGAAGGATGAACGCAGCCTTGGCTCTGAGTTCGACAACGATTTCTCAACAATTGTTTTAATTCGAAAACAGTAATCAAAGGACGGCTTAAAACAGCATCCTGGTAAGACTTTTTGCTTGGAAAAATGTAGACCACGATTAATCAGTGTTGGTGAAGAGATGAGGAAGATGGGGATAAAATATAAGGTCCCCCAGTCCCCCCAGTAGAATATAAAGTCCCCCAATCCCCAGTAGAATATAAAGTGTATATTACCCACAGCAGGGTAATATACAGAAAGTTTTTCATTGGTTGAAACGTTAAAGGTCAAGTCAGTGGCTGTGGAAAGCTGGAGCAAACTCACCGTCTCAAAATCGATGGCAGTGAAAGAATTGCTTTTGAAAGGGGGATTTCCGCGTAACTCGAAATGAGCTTGATTGGAGGAGTAGAAGTGGACGAAAAGGGACGAGGGCATTGCAGCCGAGACCAGGTTTGGATTCTTCCGACGGCATTCCTCGCACACTGGTGGATACAGAAGAAACTCGCTCACCTAAAAAATTGCAGCCTTAAATAGTTCACCATGTGAGTAGACGAAAGCTAAAACGAACCGAGTAGGCATTGAAAATGGCGTTGAGAATGATTCCAATGAGAATGAGAAGAAGTAATAACAACAAAAGTATACAGCATAAACTGGCTAATAATCGTGGAGTCATCTCGCGATCTCTGAAAAGATTCAAAAATCGGAAAAATATTCATAAATTTCTTAAGGAATACTGAATGAGAAAATAAAAATATGACAACCAATATGACGACTGCAAAGACCCATTTTTTTTGCTGAAGCGCCGCCTACTGAGGTTATCCGGAGCCCTTAGCACTAATATGATATCCATTTTTAGCGCTGGCGCCATTTGGCGACGCGGCGCCTTCCCCACTAAAAATTCACTCTCGGCGGCAGCGCTAATGTAGGACACTCTGATCATCTGTAGGACACTCTGATCATCTATGCTAAGGCTGATATGCCTGGCGTAAAGGGAATCACTTCCTCCCACATCAGCCTTAGCAGAGCTCTGAGGATTTCCTAGGCTTCAAAATCGTCATGCACGTCTTCTCAGTGGGCGAGAAGTAATTCCACCTATGTTTTCTTTCGGCGTTTTTGCTTGTTTTACCGGTTGTTTTCTTCCCAAACCGGCCTTTTGTGAAAAAACCGTAGGCGCGAGAGGGCTGATCCCACGCCTCCTGACAGGATTTCGACAATTTAATCATTAGTTTTCAAGATGGCAGGGGACATAATAAAATATAGTAAATGTGAGCCAGGCCATATGGATCGTTGTGATTTACACGGTTATATATTTGGACCTTTCATTTCTATTATATTTGATTCTACAATTCATTTTCTTTCTTCGCGAATACCAACTGATAAGTTTGGAACACAAAAAGACACATACCTTGTGTATTATGGTAAAGTTCCTTGAGGTAGTCACGGGTTCTCTGCCAACAACCACCGTCACCCTCATCTCGGTGGCTGGTACTGCGAGTCATAAGTGACGTTTGTGATTGAGGCTAGAATTTACTACAAAACTCATAGTAATGAACATTTGTGCAAGAAATCCTCCTAGGAGGTTATGGTTACTATGGCATGGGATCTAAAGAAAATAAAATCCATGTCTCAAGGCAACGTTTTAATTTACACGTTTATTGACATGGGGCCCTTCACTCCTACTGGATTTCTCTGGCAACAAAATTTGCTTTATGGATCGCGGGCGGATACAGTATTGTTCGCTGACATATCAGGCTGCATTCATTACTTGTCGGCAGTCTTCCACCAGCGTCAATAGCGTACAGCTGCTTTCCCGGTGCCTCCTGCAGCTCAGCGTCTGGGAAAAGGTGGATATCGATCTACCAGCGTCCATCAGCGACCGCAGCAGACTGCTGGTAGAGAGTATGGTGCGATAGGAGGGTACAGCTGTCCTTTACCCTCCCATCGCGCTATATTCTTTACCAGCAGTCTGCTACAATCTTATTTCTTTTCCCTTAACTTACCAGCTGTCTGCTCCTCTGCACTCCACTCCCGGACGCTGTAGACGCTGGTGGACGCCGGCAGATGCTAGTTCGATACTCAATACTTCTGTTGCCCCCGAGTGCTGGTAGACGTTTGTAAGGCTGGTCGAGGCTTGTGACGCTGCGGCTGCGCGCACAAGTATGCAATACAAGTATCAGGGGGGGGCTTAGGATGGCTGACGGCCAGGCCGAGCTGGTGCCCCGCCGAACCCCTCCCCCTTATTGGCCACTCCCCAGCATCACGCAGCAACAAGCCATTTGGTGAATGCCTTCCCAGCCAAAAAGCTATAAAATAAACCCTGCTGCATTAATTCAATAATTAATAGCAATTTTTTAACTTCAGTCGGAACGCGTAGAATACTTGAAGGAGGAAGGATAAAAAGTTCAAATCACTGGTTCCTCGGGCCAGATACAAAGAACTCACAGCGTAAGACTTGGAGTTTTTCTCCGGATCCCATCAGCTCGTCGGACTGCTGCATCTTTCTGTAGCTGTCCTTCCGCATAAAAGCGCTAAATCACACAAATTAATGCAGAACTGTTTTAGACTGATTTTGCTCATCGATATTTTTGCCGCAGTTGGGAAAATACCAAGGATAATGTTGGAAAACGTGAGCTACTCTGAAGAGCTTCAGAATGCCTATGTTTTATTTTCCCTGAAATGATAGATGAGCGAATAGCTGTTGGTCACCCAGAAGTTTCATGCCCAAGTCAACTTCGAATTTTCATTTGAATAATCAGCGAAATACCTCCTTTTTGCGGGTTTCTGTGGGTCGACATCACGTTAACATGAAGAAATGTTCACAAGGTTGAGCCTTCTGTGGCAGTCGAACGGCCTTTTGTGTGTTTGTTTAGAAGCGCTCCATTTCCCCAAATGCGGACGCGAGCGCTCGTCTACGCCTACCCTGCCTAGGTTCGATATTTCCACACCCTTTTCAACTCGTTCTGCAGGGTTCCAATAACAATATTACGTCCAAAGCGATACGGGGTTCATTGATTATTGATTTTTTATTGCTTATTGGTTGTCTTTCGGTTACTTTTACGGCCTTGCTTTTGACACCATTGCTTGGCAAAAATGAGGTTCCGGGTATAAACAGTGCTATCAAAACTAACTTTACAACTACACAAGTTCCTTGGAAAGAAAGAGTACTAAGCGTTAATACATTGACAAGGGTGAGGGCAGTTCCTGGTCCTGCCTGATCAAGTCTTTTGTTAAGCCAGCATTATTGTGACAAGTTTTCTAATAAGTGCTGAGCGTGATCCGTCCTAGAACCTCAGCAAGCGTTTGTTGTTACTTCTGACTTGGTCTCTTCATTGGTGTTCCTTTTTTTCCCTGGCATTCCGTTGGAAAGGCTGAGGATATGGGGGGGGGCTTGTTGTCGGTTATCCCAATTTCTTCTTTCTTCATTCCATGTTTGGGTATCTGAGGAGGACAGTCTACATAGTCAAAGCGACGCTGGAAGTAACTAAAAGTCTCATCTCTGCGTCTGAAGCTGAGACCTCATCTCTTTCGGAAAACATTTTAGCTTTACCGGACTGCATTACACAGAAAATCTGAGAAGTCTGGATAGAGGGAGGTCTCGATAGAGATTATTCCCTGAGATGACCATAGGAAATACTCGTTTGTGAGTGGAATAGCACACCTTTTTGTCAAACGGCGCCCCTCCTAGTGTAAATTGGGCCATCGCATTTGGCGTCAGCTTTTTTCCCCCAACCAAATTTGACATAAGCTTGCATTTGGAGGTAATCCAAAGTCTTGATCGGAAATGTGATGCTTAATTAGTGATCATGAGGTCGGTGATAATTTACGCGTCGGTAACTATCAGTAAATAAGTGGAGTTTTTCTTCGAAATTTCGTGGAAGAAAAGATTGAGTGATGTCAAAGTTCCCCTGTTGTTCGGAATGTCCAAGATTGTTCGCGAATATTGGACTCACTCTTGATCGCTTCTGTATTTGCCGCCACGAATCTGTCCTTGCAATAGGTGGAGACGGTACGGTAAACACTTGGCTCTGAGACGACGTCCGAAGAGCAGATGGAGTTCTGAAACAGATTCATGTTCTAGCTTGGAAAACTCGGGCTCCACCAGCGCCACTACTGCTGGACTCGATCTGACCAGGAATGTTTCAACTTCCCATGAGCCTTTGAATGACCTAGGCCTATTGATAGGATTTGAGATGCTGATTACAAGTGTGGAGACGGAAGTTGCTACGCTCATCTTGCAGGTGACTTTTAAGCGGTCAAACTTTACAACGATGTAATGTTCTCGTGGCACATAAGCGGTATCTAGTATCTCGGTTTGGCTATAAATACGTCCCCGTGAGTAGTCTGACCCCGCTAACACGAATATCGTGCGGGCTGGTGTGGAAATCAAATGTCCGCGCTACAGCGCCCAGTGGACAGATGCCCACTTTGACCTCTTTTGGTTATTGATTGCAGGTGTGCATTTTGTTTGCGGCGGAAAGGGGGGTTATCTGGGGAGGGGCGTGTATGGGCGTCTTTGCGCACAATATACATTGCGGTGGGCGCTTATTCACGCAGGATTAGGAAAAAATTCGCTTCGCGGAAAATCCTAAAAATTTTTTTGGATTCTTCCGCAACATGTACCTTGCATACAATAGACCCCATTACATTCCAATTACCTACGCTGTGCACTGTATACTGCATATACACTAGTTTTTCACACTCTGTGTACTATATTACACATATACGCCTTTGAATACACTTTTATTTAAAGGCAGTTGGCAGATTATTTCCCACTCGGCCTAAAACGCTAATAGGGCGCTATGTAGTGGGGGAAATGGGGAAAGAACGGAGTGAAAAGGTCAAAATCCTGCGAAGAAAAAGCCTCCGTTCTCAGTGCACCTAAAAAATCGAAGCATTTGGACGAGTTTCCTGTAGGCATCTTGCCAATCACCGCTACCGAAGATACGGCTGCATATGTGTACTCATATATCCATGCAGCATCACGGCCGCTTCATACAAATCCCTTCGCTTCATAATTTGCTTAGCAAATGAATCGATTAGAGCGTCAGGAACGGTCGTCCATTTGTGGGCGGGCGGGCGAGGAAAGGCGTTTGGACGGAATGTTGTTGCTCGATAGGGCGTTATAGGGGTACCCTCCTTGGAAAAGGCGCCACGGAGCGCCTGTCCGAGGTCACGGAATTCTGTTAAGCCAGTCGTATAAATCCTGCATCTGCATAGCGATTTATCGTGCCAACTGCCTTTAATAGCACACTTGACTCTGCCCACGACGGACTCTTTATTGGACGGTTATAGGAGAATTATTATAACCTTTAAATTTGTTTCATCGACATCCGATTTTAGTGATCTTTCAACAGATATAATGCACACGTAAGAGGACTATTGTAAATTGTGAATGTGGACTAAATGTGAATTGAAACTCCCCTGAGGGATTCAGGTAGCAATTCTGCTTCTATATTTGTAACCAGCACTCTGAACCCCATTGATATTATTAAGCCTCCATTCGAGGTTCCATTAAGAGTTGAAACAACCTCCTGTATTCATTATTGAGACTTGGATAATTGAAACCACTATTTCAGATTCTGAAAGCGAACTCACTTGAGTACTCCTGTGTAGGGAACTTCTGCCCGATAGCCATTAGTCCGAGCCACTCCCGGTCTCTCGACCACTTCTTCTATTCGAGTGCTCTCCATTCTGGACGTCTCCAAAAGTGGCCCAGTGCCGTGCGTCTCGACCACTCGAGCACCGCCCTCTGCAGATAGTACCTATTTGTAATCGCCGAAAAAGAATCTGGCAAGGATCAGGCAAAAACTTTGAAAATTGCCGTGCTGAAATGAAGGATGCAACGATACCAGGAATTTTACTTTTTCATCGATGATGCAATCAAAAGTCCACGAATTGTTTTGCACTTACATTTAGATCGAATGTTTGTGGAAAAATTGAGATCTGGTCGGAGATAGACAAGAGATTGTTCGGTAACTGCCTGTGGATGAAACTTACCCAAACTGGTAAAGCCGGTAATCGATATCCCATCATGAAGGGATGAAAAGTGGTTCAACAAAACGTTTCACCCACACTTCACGCCTATTTGCGGCGGAAAACTGAAACTAAACACAACCCCGTGATCTTTCACGCCATCTGAGCCTTTTGTTCTTATTGTGTGGGTAGTGGAAGCCAGGCCAAGGCGGTGTGGGTGGCTTTCGTGTTGTACTTTCTTGTGCGAGTACATTCAGTCCTCTCTGAGATCCTTAATAGGATCCTATGATTATCTGTTCAGTGTGATCACTTTCCAGAGTGTTCACTTTTTTATAACAAAGTAATCGGTAGAAAGGTGAAGGAAATCGGTGCCAGTTAGGTTCCCTTGGAGTTACTGGTCTTCCCACAGAGAGGATTTTACTCAGTACACACATAACGAGGGTAGGTGGACTTATAGGCAAAGGATCAGAGCCATGTTTGTGGTCATTGAAGCCAAATCGAACTCGGAACAATCTGTCCGCATGGTATTCTCGGAGTCACAGTTGTTGGAAGCGGATGATGGGGCGTGTCAAGAGGACAGGTTTGGCATGTCGCCAGTTCGTTTTTTTT